TTTACTGGATTCAGATAATTATTTCTGAAGCTATCCCAGCACTTCCTGATTAAAGAGCTAGGGAGAACAAGTCTTCAGATTCACACTGCAAGGCAGGAACCTTGAAGCAGTAGAAGAAATATGAGAATTACCATCTGAGGAACTTGTAGACATACATTATACCAATATCTTTACTGACACAGCTCCTAGGGCAATGGAGACTAAGGAGAAAATAAACAAATGGGACTACATCAAAATAAAAAGCTTCTGCACAGCAAAATAAACCATCAACAAAACAACAAGAAAGCCCACTTCAGCTGAAACCGGTTTGGCTCAGTGGATAGAGCATCGGCCTGTGGACTGAAAGGTCCCAGGTTCGATTCCAGTCAAGGACATGTACCTTGGTTGCGGGCACATCCCCAGTAGGGGGTATGCAAGAGGCAGCTGATGTTTCTAACTCTCTATCCCTCTCTCTTCCTCTCTGTAAAAAATCAATAAAATATATTTTTTTTTAAAAAAGAAAGAAAGCCCACTTCATGGGAGAACATATTTGCCAATGCTATTTCAGAAAATGGTTAATCAAAATTTATAGAGAACTCATACAACTTAACAAAAGGAAGATAAGTGATCCAATAAAAAATGGTCAAAGGACCTAAATAGATACTTTTTGAAAGAGGACATACAGAAGGCCCAGAGACATATGAAAACATTCTCAAAGTCAGTAATCATCTGAGAGATGAAAATCAAAACAACAATGAGATATCATCTCACACTTATCAGAATGGCTATCATCAACAAATCAATAAACAAGTGCTGGTGAGGATGTGGAGAAAAAGGAACCCTCTTACACTGCTGGTGGGAATGCAGACTGGTGAAGCCACTATGGAGAACAGTACGAAGTTTCTTCAGAAAGTTAAAAATGTAACTCCCATGTACGCCAGTAATCTCACTTCTACAACTATATCCCAAGAATCTAGAAATACCCCTCAGAAAGGATATGTGTACTCCTATGTTCATAGCAGCACAATTTATAATAACTAAAATTTGGAAACAACCTAAGTGCCCATCAGCAGATGAGTGGATTAAAAAACTGTGGTACATCTATACAATGGAATACTACACTGCTATAAAAAGAAGGAACTTTTACCATTTGCAACAGCAAGGAGAGAACTGGAGAACATTGTGCTAAGCAAAATAAGCCAATAGAAAGACAAATATCACATGATCTCACTCGTATGTGGGATATAATGATCAACATAATGTGATGAACAAAAACAGAGCAGAGACAAATGACAGGTGAGGGGGGTTTAGAGTGCAACCAAAGGACTTTATGCATGCATATTAGCATAACCAATAACACAAACACTGGGTGGTGGGGGCTTGCCTGGGGTGGGAATGGCTGAGGGGCAGGTGTCAATGGGAGGGAGGGAATAGGATACATATGTAAAACTTTAAACAAAAAAAAAAATAAAAAGAAGAAGAAGAATAAAAAAGAAACTGGTTTACTTTAAAATAAAAAACAATAGAGTTTTAATTAACCAAAATGTTTCATTTTCAGAAGATTAATAAATGTCTAGACAGTTGGACGGGAAAAAATGAGAGTTATGCAAATATCAGTATTAAAGATGAGAAAGGGAAAATTATTCAGATTTTATAGACAATAAAGGATAATACAAAATATCCTGAGTAATGATATGATAACAAATTTGACCACTTAGATTAAATAAAATAAAAATTTTAAAAAGACACAAACTACAAAAACTCAACAATAGATTTGGGAAAACCAAAATGGTGACAAGGAAGCTCCTGAACTTCCCTCACCCAGGCATGTACTGACTGTGTGACTACTAGAGTATACATAGAGCAATTCCTCTGAGAGAAATCGAGACACTAGCCTAGTGAGTCCTACTTATCAGGTAAATGAGAAAATTTCCCCAACAAAATGACACAAGGCTGAGACTCAGTCTTCCTATTAACCTCTCTCCCCCTCCCTGCCCCTGCAGAGTGCCATACAGTTGGGAGGGATTCCCCAGCTTCCAGCTTCTCTTAGTATAATACTAAAGGATTTGGACTGCATACCTAGTACCTCAACTTTTAAAAAGATATATTTTATTGATTTTTTACAGAGAGGAAGGGAGAGGGATAGGGAGCTAGAAACATGGACCAGCTGCCTCCTGCACACCCCCAACTGGGGATGTGCCCGCAACCAATATACATGCCCTTGAGCAGAATTGAACCTGGGACCCTTCAGTCCACAGACCTATACTGTATCCACTGAGCCAAACCAGTTTCGGCAGTACCTCAGTTTTTAAGACTCCCATCTGAGACATGGACTCTTAGTTCTGAAACAACTATTTCTGAAAGCCAACAGTGCTTGTGTACATAAGACTCATAGGACCATAGCAAGTAAAGAAACTGTTATCAATGTGTGCATGAGCACTTCCTGCACCTGTCCCCTGGAGGCTCAATCCAGATAGAAGAGGCAAAATGTCCATCTCCCAGTCTTTCCCTGGAAGGGGCTGGGCTGCATACTTTGCCAGCTGATGCCCGAGGCCTGGCTTCTAATTCAGCATGCACCTAGGGGATGGCTGAGACCCTCCCCAGACACAGGAAAGCCTATGGGCACTTCTGTGTTCTCCCTTTAGCTTGTCCCAATAACAAAATTACATTGCCATTATCTCCTAAAAGGATATTTCTACACCTTTAGTGCCCCGACTTTCATGGCTATCACCAGAGAGACAGGTCATCAAATCCCCTAGCTCTGATACTAATAGGGCTTGCATTCACATGTCACACAGGGGTATGGCAAACAAATAAGCAGCTTTGCAATAGGTGCAGGTGTATCCTCTTCCCCATGTCCTGCTCCTGTGCTGTATTCCTGGGCTCAATGTAGAACAGAGCAGGAAAAAGTGCCCATCTTTAAGTTTCTCCCTGGAAGGAGCTTAATTACATTCTTTCCCAGCTGTTGCCCCAGAGTCTGACTTCTAATTAGCCCGCATCCAGGCTGGCTGCACTCCTCCCCTTTGGGGACACCCTCAGCTGGGAGCCCCTAAGAACAAAGACAGAAGCTTGGACTATCATAAAGGTTTGAGAGAAAACCCAGAGCTCAGGCTGCACTGATTGAGAAGACCACTCTGTGAACTCTGGGCAGTTTTATCCAAAATACAGAAACGGTTTTATCCAAAATACAGAGTCAAGAAAAGTGAAGATGCAAGGGGTGTTTTAGGCAAAAGAACAAGAAAAATTACCAGAAACTGATCTTAGTGAAATGGAGCTAAGTGACTTGTCTGATAGGAAGTTTGAAATAATGGGCATAAAAACGCTCACTGATGTCAGGAAATCAATGCATGAACACTGTGAGGATTTCAACAAAGAATATATAAAAGGCAGAGACTCTTACAAGCAGCAAGAGAAAAACAGCTTGTTACAAAAAAAGGAAATCCCTATAAGGCTATATGTGGATTTTCAGCAAAAATTTTGCAGGCTAGAGGGGAGTGAAATGATATATTAAAAGTGCTGATAAAAAGAAACCTGTCACAGGAGAATATTCTATTTAGCAAAATTTTCTTTCATAATTGAGGGAGGGATAAATAGTTTTCCAGACTAAAGCCGAAGACATTTATCACCACTTTACCAATGTATGAATCAATAGATCAATGGAACAGAGTACAGAAATACGCACTTACACATATACTTAAATTGATTATTTTACAAAGTTGCCAAAGTAATTCAGAGGGGGGAAGGATAAGTTTTTTAACAAGCGGAGATGAAAATATTAGATAAACATATGAAAAAAATCCCAAAGAATCTTTAACTCTATATTACAGCACATACAAAAAACAAACAAACAAAAACTTGAAATGAATCATAAACTTCCAAGAAAAATATCTAGAAGAAAACTGTGGTTGCAAGTTGACTGGGTGTTGCAAATATTTCTTAAATAGGGCACAAAAATCCAAAATTATAAAGGAAAACAAGTGATAAATTGGATTACTAAAAGAAGCTACTCAAAAGATACAAGTAAGAAAATGGAAAAGGAAGTCACAAACTAAGAGAAATATTTTTGAATATGTATTTGACAACATACCTTTATTTAGAATATATGAAGAACTATTACAACTCAATAATTGAAAATAAACATTCCAATTTGCAAAAAGGCAAAAAGATTTGAATAGATATTTCACCAAAAAGATATATGGATGGCAAATAAACACATATAAAGATGGCTGATATTAGTATTTAGAAAAGCACAAATTAAAACCACACTGAGCTACCAATGTACACTATTTGAATAACTACAATTAAAGTCCAATTATACTAAGGGTTGGCAATGTACAACCACTTTGCAAAGCATGTTGGCAGTTTAACAAAATATTAAAAATGTACCTACAACATTAAATGAAATAGTGTATCTATGCAAAAACTTATAAAGAAATATTCAAAGCCACCTAATCTGAACCCCCCCCACACACACACACACAACACAAAACAATAATAGTGACACTAAGACTAAACCTAACCCTAATATTTGAATCGATACACATTTTTGTGGTATATCTACATAGTGGAATATTACTCAGAAATAAAAGATGAAGTATTGACAATGTGATCTGGATGGATCTCAAAAAATGGGTGAAAAAATCAGAGAAAATAATATATGTAACTTACGATTCCTTTACTAAAAAGAATAAAATCTCTAAACTAGTTATAGTATCAGAAAGCAGACCAGTGGTTATCTGATATAGGTTACACAAGACACATGGATACTCAGTGGGTGGTAGATATCTTCAGTATAAAACATAGATTACCAATAGAGGAACGACATTTGATTTTTTTAGGCCTAGGTTTCACAGAAAGAAATATGCTCTAAATATGACATTACAAACAATAATAGAAAGCAAAATAAAGGTATTTCTTTCTGTGTTCCACTGTCATTGTCATGTGATTATAAGCTGTACTTCAAATACTTATTTTAACTTTAGTTGCATAAAATCAATTCATTTGTAAAATGGTATACTTACTGATTCAGGACAGGTGTGTAGGCAATTTTATCCTCATCAATAATTGTGACCATCAGGGTAATAAGTTGGGGCCAAAAATCCAAATTCTTGGTGGTGGGTCCTTGTTCTTCCCGAGGAATGTCCTGTTTCTTACTCTGCTCACAGGTCATATAACATGCAAAAAAAGAAAAAACACACAAAACAAACAATTTAAAAAAAAGGGTTAAATGGTGTGACTATAGCTAGACGTCACTGTCAAACAGAAGGATCTGTCATTCGTCACTGTCAAACAGAGAAAAATGTGGTGAAAAAATTCTTAAATCATGTGAGGCAAAACTACAAAATTCAGATTTCCTTTCTTCATTAAATAGGACCCCATAAGATAGTGGCCAGGCTTTATTTCTAAATGCTTTGATTCTGGAGTAATTGTTTCTCTTCTTCAGACTATAGTCTTAAGAATTATTATTGTGGAAAATTATCTTTTTTATGGGGCTTCACCCAAGGAGAAAGGTTGAATTCTTTGTATACAAAGATATGTATGTGTGTGTGTGTGTGTGTGTGTGTGTGTGTGTGTATTTATGTGTATGGCTGTGTATGAACATTTATCCAAATTTATCCTGCCAGAATATTTTGTTCAAAGTCAAGTTGGTAGCAAGTGGGCAGAATGCACGGCTGCCTGGTAACAAAGTCAGAACTATTAGATTCTATAATATATACACGTTACATGCATGGCCCATAACTCTCTTAATCCACTTGCAAACCTATCTAGTTAACTAAAACTATGGAAGCCTTTGAGTGTGTGTGTGTGTGTGTGTGTGTGTGTGTGTGTGTGTGCTATTTAAATCCTTCTTGATTTATCATACTGAATGAATTCTCCAACTCTCACCTCTAGAAAGAATAGTGTAGCCAGGATGGTCTAAATTTACATTGAGATTAATGAAGTACACATATAAACTTGAAAGTTCCACATATAAACTTCATAATCCTGAATTTTCACATATAAACTTCATATTCTATGCATATAATTCTTTCAGACATACTGATAAATTATGCTGGTTATTTTGTTTGGTGGCTATTCTTCTTAGAGCACTTCTTTTACATTTACTTTTTTAAATTAGGCAAAAAAAAATGACAAAGGCAAGATGGCTTTGTTTACTGTTTTTGTTAAATTATTTACAAGTTTCTCAGTCCAGAATATCTGAAAACTTCAATTTGTGGCTCATAAATTACCTGATATAAAAGGTAGATTAGATTATATTTGGCCCAACCAATTGCCATATTTAACTACCAAGTCTTATCAGAAAATCAGCTACCCAATGGTTGTATGCAGATCTTCTAATGCTGCCAAAGACATGTAACCAGATTTGGGTGAGTCATCACCCAATTATTATTCTCACTTAAGTTAAAATACAACCCTATGTGGAATCCACTAACCATTACAGACCTCCACACACAGACCGTAATGTACCGTTAGGGAAACATAATTTTCTAGGGTGCTTTCAAGTGCTGTTGATTAACCTTTATGCTCAAAATGCAACATATTAAAAGTTGGAAAACAAAATTAAAATGTAAAAAATTAGTGGCTGGCATAAATTACTTCAAATTTCCAGAGTGAACAATAAGTAGTGTTCAAAGGATCTTAAGAACCTTGTGTGTCTGGTCCCAGAGAACCAGTTGAAAGTCCTTGGCAGGCTTCCCTTTTCAATTCCTGGGACACAGCAAGGCACATCAGTAGATCTTTCAGAAGACAAAGGCAGCAATGCAGGCTTACAAATATTCAGTCTTGCCTACTTTAAATTTTTAGGTTTCTTTTTAATTGATTTCAGAGATAAGAAGGGAGAAGAAGAGAAAGGGGAAAAAAAACAAAACAACATCAATGATGAGAGAGAATCATCAATCAGCTGTCTCTTGCATGCCCCTTACTGGGGATCAAGCTCATAACCCAGGCCTGTGTCCTGACCAGGAATCAAACCTGGTGCATATGTCTACAGACAACCACTGAGCCACACGAGCTGAGCAAGCCTTGCCTACTTTTAAATTACATTTTCTACTAAAATGTCTCTTTCTTTTGTGAACAGGACTTTATTATTGTCAGAATAATGTAATTATTTACTTATTACATTAAGATCAATGGATTTCCCTCTCTATGATAGAGTTAGAAATCAGAGAGACTGGTGAGTTGTGAAGGCTGTAAATAAAATTAGTTCTGATGGCCATGGTAGACTATACTAGAATACTATCATTCATCATCATGATGTGCATATAGCCAGACTGTATGTCTAACTTATGTCAAGTAATGTAATTAAATGAGAGGAAATGACAATAGATGATACATTTAACATCACAGTCACTTATCATCATTCTGCAAAGAGTGATATGGAAAGGAGGAGAGACTGAAGTACGTAGTCGAATATGCATCAATTCTAAAGTCACAAAATATACTTTCATTACTCTTTTTTTTGTGACTTTAGAAGATTATTGATAGTACAATGCTTTGCATCATATTCTGTATGTTGCACCAAAATAAACCAATCGGAATGCTGAGTCATTAAGTTTTTACATACCACAGAGCAACATCATAAATCAGGTTTTCCCTGTTTTATTAGTGCATTGTTTTTAAAGATTTTTAATAGAATTATATATATATATATATATATATATATATATATATATATATAGAGAGAGAGAGAGAGAGAGAGAGAAACATCTATGTGAGAGAAAAACATGGATTCACTGCCTCCTACACACCCCCTACCAGCGTCCGAGCCCATAACCCCAGCCATGTGCCCTGATTGGGAATTGAATAAGTAACATGTGGATGCATGGGGCAATATTCAACCAACTGAGCCCCACTGGCCAGAAGGACTAGTGCATCTTAATATGTTTAAAATAATGGGGTACAGGCCTGGCCAGTGGGGCTTAGTTGGTTGAGAATCCTCCATGCACTAAAAGGTTCTTGGTTTGATTCCAATCAGTGTACATACCTGAATTGCTGTTCAATCTCGGTCAGGGTGTGTAAGGGAGGCAAGTGATTAAAGTTTCTCTCTCACATTGATGCTGTTCTCTCTCTCTCCCTCTCTCTCTAAAATCAATAAAAATATTTAAAAATAATATTTTTAAAAAGTAAATAAAAATTTAAATAATAGGATACAATGAGGTATATTATATACCTGATATATTAAGGATTACATTTTCTAAGTAAGACTATTAATCTTGAGTTCTACTAGGGCATTTGCCTTAGAGTTGGAAAATTAAAACAATGATAGTAAACATTTTGCAAAGCTAATAAGTACATTAGTACTTATTGAAACTGCTGGGGTTCTTTTCCCAGCCTTACAAAGGGTTCAGCATTCTGGAGAAAGGGGCTGCGTGTATATGACTAAAAAGTCCCGAGTCGAAAGATAATTTTGAAAGGCATTGGGGGTCAGAGGAGCTTCAGCTGACTAGAGTGAAAGACTCCTACCTTGACCAAGGACCTGCGCTTTTATTCAACACAATTTGTCTTAAGGCAAGGTGGAAATAATTCACATCAAAGGGTAGGGTATCAAAGGATACTGTCAGTTTGGGGAACAGCACAAAGCCCTTCAGGTGTTTGGCAAACAGAAGGCAATAAAATGCCCTTAGCTGTCTGGTTAACAATGCTATTCAGGTTTGGGGGAAGTGCCATTTAGCCATTTCCAACAGGCAAACTACATATGTGGCTCACCCTTGTTGAGCCCACTTAGTTCCATCAACTTTTGATGGAACTCTTGTAATTATTGCATGCTGAAATTGGTTCCTAGTAGAAACTTTTAAAAATTAGTACTTATTATAATAATATAGTTTATAATATATTTATATGATATTCAAGTATTATAATTATAAACTCAATGACAATGAACAAAGTATAATAAATATAAAATTATGAGTTAGTAGTTCAATTTTAACTTTGGTCATCATTATTACAACAACTAAAATATATTTTGTTAATAGACTATTGAGGAAAGACACTTGAAAGGAAATCTGTGACAGTAATGAGAAGAGGAATTTTTGAAAGTGCAAAGTTGCTAGGGTCAGCTGAATAAAGTATCCAATAGTTATTTTAAAAATGATAATTTAGTCAGAACCAGTTTGGCTCAGTGGATAGAGGACTGGAAGGTCCCAGGTTCAAGGGCATGTACCTGGGTTGCAGGGCACATCCCCATTAGGGGGTGTGCAAGAGGTAGCTGATCGATGATTCTCTCTCATCAATGTTTCTGACTCTCTATCCCTCTCTCTTCCTCTCTGTAAAAAATCAATAAAATATCTTTTTTTAAAAATGATAATTTAGTATCAAAGAAAGCTGGTACAGACAAGCTGATAAGATGTATACTATACCTTCATAATTTCAAATAAGAAAACATGAAGCTACTCCAAGAAAAGATCAACATGTAGAAAGAACTGTTATGTGCAAAAAACAAAAGTGTTGAAATAATAGATATCTTCATGATAGTAAGACGTATGCAACACTTCTAAGATTGCTATATTTCTGTGACATTCTATTTATTCAATGGCATATGTAATTTTTTAATCCTCACCCTAAGATATATATTTTTTTATTGATTTCAGAGAGGAAGAGAGAAGGAAAAAGAGATAGAAACATCAATGATGAGAGAGCATCATTGGTTGCTGATTCCTGCACTCCCCATCCCGGGGATTGAGACTGCAACCGGGGCATGTGCCCTTACTGGGAATCAAACAATGACCTCCTGGTTCACAGGTCCATACTCAACCATTAAACCATGCAGCAGGGTTATTTTATCAATTTGAGAGAGAGAAGGAGGGGGGAGTAAGAGAGAGAGAGAGAGAGAGAGAGAGAGGGAGAGAGAGAGAGAGAGAGAGAGAGAGAGAGAGAGAGAGAGAAGTCCAAAATGTTTCCTGACCAGGGATCAAACTCAGAACCTTGGAATGTTCTGGGAATCAAACTCACAACCTTTTGGTGTATGGGATGACGTTCCAACCAACTGATTCACCCTGTCATGGAGAGCATAGGTATCAGTATTGCTGGGAAGGCTTGCTAAAATACAGATTGATAGGCCCTTCTCACATAGTTCCTGATGCAGTAGGTTAAGAGTGAGATGAGAATATGCATATATAATGGAGCCTCAAGTAATTCTGTTGCTGCTGATTCAGGGCC